TGGAATAAAAAAAAAGGATTTAGCTTAACTTAGACAGGGATAAGTAATGATTTTCAAATCACAGGTATTTTAAAAACCCATGAAAACAACTGAATTTGGTAAAGTGTGTCTGTCCACAAATAATGAAGCAAATGGGATCATTCGTATGGGCAAATCAATTGAATGGCAGTTTCACTTTCCTAAAAAAAAAAAAAACTTTATTAACAAGTAAACTGTTTGAAACCAAAAGATATTGGCATTTTCAAACTGTTAATCAAATCCGACTGTAGCTTAAACCACCGGTTTATGGTGAGCTAAAAGCATCAACATCCGTATGCACAGCCTCAGAAAAAGAGTCATAATAAAGCTCTTAACAGGGCAAACTTTTTAGTATTAATCTCTGACCATTCTTCAGATCACTCACTTGCATAAGTTTCCTTGACAGTTCATTTGTGAGAAATTCTTCCTCCTTTTCATAGTTGACTGCCAAGGTCTCTTTCTCCTTCTGGAGAGCTTGGATCTTCTTGAACAAGGTGTTGCTGATGAATTCTTCCTCCTGCTCTGCTCTTGCTTGCTGTGCAACATAAAACCCGGAAAAGTGCCAGAAAAAAAAAAATCAGTTGAACAGACTCTTAGCATCCTGGCACAGCACAGTGCTTCCATCTTTGTCCTAATTAAACTGGAACAGCAAACCAATGAGCATAACCATAAATGCAGGTGGCTTTGATTCCACATGGATAATACAGACCTGATACTACATTGACAACAGATGGAATTCAAAATTCAACAATATATACAACAGTTAAGGATTTTATTAGGGCTGAAACAATTAATTGGATTTATCAATTATTGAAATAATTGCCAATTAATTTAGTTACGAGATCCGTTAAATGGAGTCTAAAGACTCTAAAAACGTGCCTTTAGCTGACAGAACAACCCACTTAGAGAACTAATTATATCAAAAATGTAAAAAATATATAAACATTTTGCACTTCTGTCAATATGCTCTATCCAGAGGCATTAATGCCTCTTTAAGGTTATGTTGTAGCCAAAAAATGTGTTTCTTTCACTCTGTGTTTTTTATGAATTTCTCTAGAAGCTTTTTTGTTATATTTCTTAATATATTGGGGCAAGTTAGCATTTCTTGTTATACATTAACATATCCATTAAAATATCCATATTTTTTTTATTTTACAAAGATAATCGGGTATTGTCCTGGATTCCAATAACACTATTGGCCTGAAATTTTAATTTTCAAAGTATTTCACCGAGTGCCCTATAAGGCGTTAAGGTACCTTTGGCTATCTGATTATTAATCAATTAATTGAAGAAGAAAAAAAAAAAAAAAAAAACTAAATATTAATCGATATACAGCAAAAATGGAATTACCAACTTATATGGGAATAAATCTTTGCTGCAAAAAGAATGTCAGAACATTAGAAACCATTGAAAACAGATTTTGGGGATCCACTAGAACTGGCTACAGATAAGTCAGTGTTCTTTTCCAGTAAGTGAGAAGGTATAGCTTTAGAGGGCGAGGTTATAATGAAAGGAAAGCAGCACTAGAGGGTGGCATGTGAAACCCAACAGCTAGCATTACAGTGTGATCATACTTCTGTCCTTGCCACTCTCATCCGCCCCATCTCTCATTATTTAGCACCCTCATGATTAAAAAGTGCTTTATCAAGCAGTGACAATATACCAACTTTCCAATATGAACGAAACAACATTCCCCAATATTTCTATGGGGTGAAAGAGGAGCAGAGGAGTTGACCTCGCCATGTTAATAGGTTGGTATTTCGCTACGTCGTAAAGTTTGGCCTAGATATACCCCCATCCATCCATCCAGCAGATCGCTTACACATAACTGCGAAGCTTTGGCTCATTAACCCCGCATGGAGACATATGAAGCGTCACCATGTGCCAGCATTGCTGCTCGGCTATTTGTCAACTCATCTATCCTAACCTTATTGGAAATAATGAATGACACTACACTGAGAAATCAATTAGCAAACAATTTAAAAGTGGTGAACGTGCCTTTGTGCTAGCGATAACGTAGCATAACAAAGCAAAGTAGCTGCCAGTCATTGCCCGACTACCTTGCAAACGTTACCCTGCTGGCTAATTTAGCAACAAGCTAAGTGATAGCAAAGCTAGCAAAACATCCACCGTATGTGTTCACCATTAAGTAATATCACCAAATGACGGTCCATTCTTTCAAGAACGAACCAGTCCTAACTGAATTAATACCAACAGCCACGGTTAACCGAAAGACAAATGCTAAATAGTCGAATCATAACAGCATGTAGCTAGTTAGCTGGCTAACATTACTCACAATGGTGACGCTAGCTTTGCGGAGGTCCCGATTCTCCTCCTGCAGGGCTTTACACTTTAGTTTAAACGTCTCAAGCTCGATTTTCAGAACTTTGTTCTCTTGTTGTAACGATGCAAGACGGTTCGTTAGCTCCTCCAAGCGAAACTGTGAAATGACTATACTTGGTTTCCCAGAATTTGAAGCGGAGGAGGACATCGGGGTGGCCGAGCTGCTCCCCGCTCCGTCAGTGTCGCTCTCGCTCGCGCTGTCCGCCATGGCTGTGCGGCAGTAACTGGAGAGGGAAGGAGGGGAAGAGCACTGGAGCTTGAGCGGTGTGCGCGAGGGGCGAGTACGACAGAACGATGCACGGTGTGACCTTGCCCTGGCGACGGACACAGCGACCCCACCAGGATGTCTCCAGAACTTCCTAGAGGATAGCGACTTCAAAAAAAAAAAAAAAAAAAAAAAAAACACAGAGGGAGGGAAAAGACAAAGGAAACCAGGCAATGAAAAAGGATCAGCTAAGTTAAAAAAAATAATAATAATAATAATAAACAATTGGAATAAAAAAAAAGGATTTAGCTTAACTTAGACAGGGATAAGTAATGATTTTCAAATCACAGGTATTTTAAAAACCCATGAAAACAACTGAATT